GGGGAAAGGGGAGGAGGGTGCGTGGGTGGCTGGTGGGTGTCAGGCCGTGCGTTGCGTAGGCAGCCCCTGAGCGCTGGGCCAGCGGTCCGTGTGGGGGCCCTGATGCGCAGCGCGTCAGCTGTGCAGAGCGTCCAGCGCAACGGTGCGCCACAATCAGCCCCGCCTGCTGGTCACCAGCCCAGTCACCAACGCCTCCCGTCTCGTCGTGGCCGTGCCCCCTCTTAGATTCCAGAGCCAGCTCCCCGGGGAGCGGCGCTACACTCGCGTCTTCCCCACCCTGGCCACCATCTGGCGCGAGGAGGGGCCCACCGCGCTGTACAAGGGATTCGTGCCCAAGGCGCTGCGCCTCGGCATCGGGCAGAGCGTGGGGCTGCTGACATTCCAGGAGGCACTCAAGGCCTTTGGGGCGGCCCACACGCCCGCGGACGACGCGCGGGAGGCGCGCGCAGCGGCCCTCATATCGGAGTGATTGGCATCGGCCTGCATGCCCCTGAACGCCAGGTCACGCAGGCGCTGCTGCAGACAGGAGGCGCAGCCGGGGCAGCCGGGGGCCCCGGTCACCTGCGCCGTGTGCGCCGCAATGGCTTAGCCTCCCGCACCTCCCACCGCTCATGCTTCTGGCCATCTCGCGAGCGCTCCTGTGGGCGGCTCGCCATTCTTTTTTTATTGGGCCTCCACCCTGATTGCGCTGCAGGATTGCCTGTCCCATCAGAGTCCAGCAGAGCGCAGCGGGCCGACGGGACACACACGCACGTCCCAGCCGCCTCCTGCCCGGCCTGTCATGCTGTGCCGCGCTCCCCGGGATCCCACCCTGGCAGCCCGCCACCCTCCTGTAACACCCGGCAGTCTCGACACCACACAGAGGGCCACGAGGCTACAGTGAATTTGCTAAACGTTACACGAGCGCTGTGAGCTCAATCTAGGGGGCAAAGGGGAGGGAATTGCTGCGGTTCGCACATAAAAGACTTGGTTGAAGGGGGGGAGACGGAGACAAGCTTGGAAAGCTGCGGGAAGGAAGAACCCAGGGCGCGCGCGCTAGCGCAGCCACGAGGGTACTGCTGCTGCTGCTACCGCGATGAGCGTGCTCAGGGGTTGGAGAACGCCATGCTGGGCCCCCCGATGCCTGAAAACTGACGCACGCTGCAACTCCACGCCGCGGGTGGTCCTGGCACGGTCAGGCAGAGTGCCAGGGCAGGCACGGCGCGGGAGCCTCGCTGCGCCTTGCTGACACTAGACCTCCCCAACGGCGGGCGCTGGCGCTCGCGGGCGCATGCGGTCGTGACGAGAGTCACTCCGCCGCTTGCATCGCGGCACGTCACGTCGCGTCGCGTCACATCATGCGCGCGGCGTCCTCCCTGCTGGGCGTGACGACCGCGATGAGCGCGCGCTCCCCCGGCCTGCAGCCCGCCACCCCCAGCTCGCGCAGCACGCCCTCCTCGGGCACCAGCAGGTGCATGTCGCGCGCGTGGCCCACCGCCGCGCAGTGCGCGATCTTGACCAGCCCCGCGCGGTCCTTTGACCGCAGGTACTCCGCAAACCCCGCCAGCCCCGCGTCGTCGGGGGACCCGGGGCCGCCGGCCGCCAGCAGCCGCCGCACGGCGCGGCGCTGGGGCAGCGCGGTGCGGTAGGCCTCGAGCGCCTCCCTCACGGGGGCGCGCGCCAGGACAGCCAGCTCTGGCGGCCACTCAAACGGCTCCAGCCGCGCGGCGCCGCTGGGCGCGAGCGCGTCGACGCAGACCAGGGTGCACTGGACCGACTTGGACTTTGACAGGCGCCCGCGCCACAGCGGCTGCAGCGGCGGCCAGCCGGGCGGCGCGGCGCCGCGCGCGGGCGACGCGGCGCCCTTCGCGGCGGGCATCGGCGGCGCGCCCTGCGGCAGCGGCGGCTGGGGAGTGCAGGGCAGCGGCGGGAGCGGCGGCTGCGGGAGCTGGGCGGGCGGCGGCTGCTGGTGCGGCGCCAGCGGCGGCCGCGCGGCTGCTGCGGGCGAGGGCCCCCCGACGCCC